GTCACATGAAATTTAAATAAAGATTTTAATTTAATGTGTGCAATATGTGTCTCTGCCATCGGGTTAGCTAGAACCAGTTTTGAAAGTTTTAGGAGTAATGGTTAAAGAGCTATTGAAATTTGAAAAATTAGATTTGTCACTATGTTGACGGTCCCTAACTGCTGTTGGTGGACGTAAGGAAAACTACAGGCGAATATCCATTGAATATCCAACCTCAATCTGCCTTTACCTCGATAGAGCATTTGTGCAAAAACCACTGCAATGCCAGAATTTTGGCTATGTGTCAAGTCTTTGCAGGCTGAAGAAATATGTTGTTGAAGAGTCGGAGGATGTACGATGTTGCAATTGTGGAGCGAATAGTGTTCCTGATTTCCTCGAATGCCCTGTAAGGGTGAAGAAGGTCGCAGTAGCAAGGATCAGGGCTGTCAAGCAGGTCTACTATGTTGAGGCAGTGCAAATAGCTGAAGGAGCGAATCGAGATGAAGAAGATATGGTAGTGGATGCCCCAAAGTCTGCTGAGAATGTAGTTCACCAGCTGAGAGATCCTAAAACTCTGATTGTGAAGAAGGTAGATTTTATTGCTTTTATTGTGCAGGTGATAAACTGTACTGGCCAAACTAACAAGAAGTTGGAGAAACTGGACATTATTGTGAATGCACCTAAAAGGTATGTGGATCTATAGGACCTCATGGCCAAGGCATTGCAGGAAATTCTGTCTGAAGATTTCTCCCCTCCCAGGCCCCTGAGCCTGTGTGGGGATGTGATTTGGATTGGACTGTGACTGAAGGAGTGGGATGGGTTTGATGTAACGTGTACTACATGACTAAAAGTATGTGGATACCTGCTCATCGAATATCTCATTCCAAATGCAATGGGATTAATATGGAGTTGGTCCCCCCTTTGCTGCTTTAACAGCCTCTTCTCTTCTGGGAAGGCTTTCCACTGTTGGAACATTGCTGCGGAGACTTACTTCCATTCAGCCAGAAGAGCATTAGTGAGGTCGGGCACTGATGTTGGGCGATTAGGCCTGGCTCGCAGTCGGCGTTCCAATTCATCCCAAAGGTGTTCAATGGGGTTGAGGACAGGGCCCTGTGCAGGCCAGTCAAGTTCTTCCACACCAATCTCGATAAACCATTTCTGTATGGACCTCGCTTTGTGTACCTGGGAATTGTCATGCTGAAACAGGAAAGGGCCTTCCCCAAACTGTTGCCACAAAGTTGGAAGCACAGAATCATCTAGAATGTCATTGTATGCTGTAGCGTCAAGATTTCCCTTCACTGGAACTAAGGGGCCTAGCCCGAACCATGACAAAACAGCCCCAGACCCTTATTCCTCCTCCACCAAACTTTACAGTTGGCACTATGCATTGGGGCAGGTAGCGTTCTCCTGGCAACCGCCAAACCCACATTCGTCCGTCGAACTGCCAGATGGTGAAGCGTGATTCATCACTCCAGAGAAGGCGTTTCCACTGCTCCAGAGTCCAATGGCGGCAAGCTTTACACCACTCCAGCCGATGCTTGGCATTGCACATGGTGATCTTAGGCTTTTGTGCGGCTACTCGGCCATGGAAACCCATTTCATGAAGCTCCCGACGAACAGTTCTTGTGCTGACGTTGTTTCCAGAGGCAGTTTGGAACTCTGTAGTGAGTGTTGAAACCGAGGACAGACGATTTCTACGCGCTTCAGCACGCTGCGGTTCCGTTCTGTGAGCTTGTGTAGCCTACCACTTCGTGGCTGAGCCGTTGTTGCTCCTAAACGTTTCCACTTCACAATAACAGCACTTACAGTTGGCCGGGGCAGCTCTAGCAGGGCAGAAATTTGATGAACTGACTTGTTGGAAAGGTGGCATCCAATGACGGTGCCACGTTGAAAATCACTGAGCACTTCAGTATGGGCCATTCTACTGCCAATGTTTGTCTATGGATATTGCATGGCTGTGTGGTCAATTTTATACAACTGTCAGCAACGGGTATGTCTGAAATAGCTGAATCCACTAATTCGAAGGGGTGTCCACATACTTTTGTACATATATTGTGTATTTTTGTGATGTAGTTTTACCGCTTTTCTGCAATGGATTTGTATTTTTCTGTAGTACAGTAGGTGGCGACAAGCATATTAAATGTGTGCGGACACAGGAGAAGAAGAAGAAGAAGAAGAAGAAGAAGAAGAAGAAGAAGAAGAAGAAGAAGAAAGTATTTGAAAGCCAAGTTAACAAACAGATCACCGACCATTTAGAATCCCACCGTACCTTCTCCGCTATGCAATCTGGTTTCCGAGCTGGTCATGGGTGTACCTCAGCCACGCTCAAGGTCCTAAACGATATAATAACCGCGATCGATAAAAGATAGTACTGTGCAGCCGTCTTCATCGACCTGGCCAAGGCGTTTGACTGTCAATCACCGCATTCTTATTGGCAGACTAAATAGCCTTGGTTTCTCAAATTACTGCCTCGCCTGGTTCACCAACTACTTCTCAGATAGAGTTCAATGTGTCAAATCGGAGGGCCTGTTGTCTGGACCTCTGGCAGTCTCTATGGGGGTGCCACAGGGTTCAATTCTCGGGCCGACTCTATTCTCTGTGTATATCAATGATGTTGCTCTTGCTGCTGGTGACTCTCAGATCCACCTCTACACAGACGACACCATTTTGTATACATTTGGCCCTTCATTGGACACTGTGTTAACAAACCTCCAAACAAGCTTCAATGCCATACAACACTCCTTCCGTGGCTTCCAACTGCTCTTAAACGCTAGTAAAACTAAATGCATGCTCTTCAATCGAACGCTGCTTGCACCCGCCTGCCCGACTAGAATCACTACTCTCGGCGGCTCTGACTTAGAATATGTGGACAACTACAAATACCTAGGTGTCTGGTTAGACTGTAAACTCTCCTTCCAGACTCACATTAAGCATCTTCAACGAACTATCATGGTCCAAACACACCAAGACAGTCGTGAAGAGGGCACGACAAAGCCTATTCCCCCTCAGGAGACTAAAAAGATTTGGCATGGGTCCTCAGATCCTCAAAAAATTCTACAGCTGCACCTTCGAGAGCATCCTGACTGGTTGCATCACCGCCTGGTATGGCAACTGCTTGGCCTCCGACCGCAAGGCACTACAGAGGGTAGTGCGTACGGCCCAGTACATCACTGGGGCAAAGCTTCCTGCCATCCAGGACCTCTATACCAGGCGGTGTCAGAGGAAGGCCCTCAAAATTGTCAAAGACTCCAGCCACCCTAGTCATAGACTGTTCTCTCTGCTACCGCACGGCAAGCGGTACCGGAGTGCCAAGTCTAGGTCCAAAAGACTTCTCAACAGCTTCTACCCCCAAGCCATAAGACTCCTGAACAGCTAATCATGGCTTCCCGGACTATTTGCACTGCCCCCCCACCCCATCCTTTTTACGCTGCTGCTACTCTGTTAAGTATTTATGCATAGTCACTTTAACTCTACCCACATGTACATATTACCTCAACTACCTCAACTAGCCGGTGCCCCCGCACATTGACTCTGCAACGGTACCCCCCTGTATATATAGCCTCCCTACTGTCACTTTATTTTACTTCTGCTCTTTTTTTTTCTCAACACTTTTTTTTGTTGTTGTTTTATTTTTACTTTTTTTGTTTAAAATAAATGCACTGTTGGTTAAGGGCTGTAAGTAAGCATTTCACTGTAATGTCTGCACCTGTTGTATTCGGCGCATGTGACCAATACAATTTGATTTGATTTGATTTGATTTCAATCCAAAGTTAAATCTAGAATCGGCTTCCTATTTCGCAACAAAGCCTCCTTCACTCATGCTGCTAAACATGCCCTCGTAAAACTGACTATCCTACCGATCCTTGACTTCAGCGATGTCATTTACAAAATAGCTTCCAACACTCTACTCAGCAAATTGGATGTAGTTTATCACAGTGCCATCCATTTTGTCACCAAAGCCCCATATACTACCCACCATTGTGACCTGTACGCTCGTATTAGCTGGCCCTCACTACATATTCGTCGCCAAACCCACTGGCTCCAGGTCATCTATAAATCCTTTCTAGGCAAATCCCCGCCTTATCTTAGCTCATTGGTCACCATAGCATTACCCACCCGTAGTATGCGTTCCAGCAGGTATATCTCACTGGTCATCCCCAAAGCCAACACCTCCTTTGTCGCCATTCCTTCCAGTTCTCTGCTGCAAATGACTGGAACGAACTGCAAAAATCTCTGAAGCTGGAGACACTTATCTCCCTCACTATCTTTAAGCATCAGTTGTCAGAGCACCTTACCGATCACTGCACCTGTACACAGCCCATCTGTAATTAGCCCACCCAACTACCTCATCCCCATATTGTTATTTACATTGTTATTTATTTTGCTCATTTGCACCCCAGTATCTCTATTTGCACATCATCTTCTGCACATCTATCACTCCAGTGTTAATACTAAATTATAATTGTAATTATTTTGTACTATGGCCTATTTATTGCCTTACCTCCATAACTTACTACATTTGCACACACAGTATATAGATTTTATATTGTGTTATTGACTGTACGTTTTGTTTATTCCATATGTAACTCTGTGTTGTTGTTGTTTTTTCCGCACTGCTTTGCTTTATCTTGGCCAGGTCGCAGTTGTAAATGAGAACTTCTTCTCAACTGGCTTACCTGGTTAAGTGGAATGAAATTGACGAGCACTAGGACCTTGCAGACGTCACAGCACAGTTGGGGTCTTGTAAATGCGCCATGAATCCGTATGAGTAGCTTGTTGTAAAAAAACGGAATGTCTCTGCGCTGACAGGCCCAAGTCTAACGTTATAAATTCAACACTGTAGCGTTTGAGGAAGAAAGACTACGATATATCGGGTAGGTGAAACAATAATATATGCCATGTAACATTTACACCGCTTAGCTAATGTAATGGCGTCTCTTCAACTGGGAAGAGGACAACGTTAATTTACGGTGTGTGTTGACAATTGCATTATCCGTTTCATCTCATTGCAGCAAACCAAGATGGAGTGCGAGTGGAAACCAGATGAGCAAGGACTTCAGCAAATTCTACAGCTTTTGAAAGAGTCCCAGTCTCCCGATACGTCCACTCAAAGATCCGTCCAGCAAGTATCCTTCAATCTCGGCTAACCGTGGAAGTGGTGGATTTGAGGTGTTTCTGTGGTAGCGTGTGCGATTAGCTTGGCTAACATTATACGCGGGCAGGGCTCGCGCTACAATATAGTTAGCAAGCTAGCTACTGTACAATGTCACAATTTGACTCACAAATATGACCGAAGTACATTTTCTATTGAATTAGCCACAGTATGATGGAAATGTCATAAGTGACAGCTGTTGCATGATACCACAATCTCTACCTAATCCATAAATAATTTCAACAAATGTTTTCCCTGTGACAGTTTCATATAATCTCAAATCCTTTGATTTCCCAGTAGTGTTGTTGAAATAATGTCGTGTTATCTGGTATGGTGTAACTAGCTAGCTGGGGTTGTTGCTGACCCTTGGGGCTTAAATGCAACAAAGAAACTGCAAGCCCTATGTTTAGAACGAGTCACCCCAGCCCCCTATCGCCCTCAGTCTGATTTCGATTCTCTCCCCTGTCATACAATGTGATGGTAAAAAGAAAGCTCAAAACAACGTTGTCGTTTTGTTGGAAACTTTTGTTGAACCGGAGTGTAGCAACGTGACTTTGTAGCCAGCCACACGCGCTTGTGATGGGATAATGAATCCGATCCTCATTGTTACATTGTCATATTGTCATATTGTCATCATCGTACAATACAGGTGTTACAGTATCAAGGAGCAATCAAATCATGATTGTTGGTGTGTGCTTTCAAGACCTTGTTCGTTGTTGATGTTGTGTTATAACGTATTTTTATAGGCGACCTACCTTGTGTAGTGTTTGAGTGATGCAATATTGTCCATGTATGTCATACAGATTAGAGTTCCTTCTGTCTAGTCAAGGCTTAGCACCGCTAGTCAATGTTGTTGAAATGCCAAGTGCTTCTATTTGGATATACGGGCTCAAACTGCACAGCATCTGCCTGTTGGGCATCCTATGTTAACTGTGACTGATTTCTGATAATCAGTTAATCATGGTATCAATTGATGGTCTCTCTCTAAAAAAAACATTTCATAAAAGTGGTGGATGTGCTGACTAAGGGCGAGTAAACTGTATGCTATAAAAATAGAGTCGCACACTCTATATACGAGCTACCAGTAATTTATTGGGTAAACCACCAACATTTCGGCATCACTGTGCCATCTTCATGTGTCAAGTGTTTGCAGGCCGTTTACCACTAATGGCTGGTCAACGTCAACCTTTACAAACCGTTTGTTCTTGTGAATACAGCACACAGCATATCTACTCCTATGGTTGTGCAACCAATGTAGAATTGCACCTTAACCAATATCCTCTACAGAGACTGGAACAGCTCAACCAATACCCAGACTTCAACAACTACTTGATATTCGTGCTGACGAAGTTGAAATCAGAAGGTAGGATATTTACCCTTCCACCCTCATTCTCCATGTCATATTTACGCCAAAGCCCTGTAGCTATGTTTTAATTTCAATGCATATTAGCACACAACACTACTGCAGGTTACAGTATGGCCACTGGCCGTCACAGACAGGCTAATCACGTCCACTAGCCATCTCTCTCTGGTAGCAAGTGAGCCTAGGGGCGAGGTTACACACACAGGCTGACAACGTGGCTGTCTGTTCTAGGAGTGGAGAACCATGACGAAGAACCCCACGGCCAATATCTTTTCACTGATGATGTGGGACCACACCGCACCACTAGAATATGGGTCACTCTAATTTTAAAGTCTTATGCCTGGCAGGGTGCCACTCAACTCCTGACCTGCCTGACAGCCTGTTACTGTACACTACAAGTAAATGACCCAATGGTTTGGGCTGATGTGCCATTTCCTTTTAGGATGGCATTTGTTACACTGCTCTGGGTCAAGAGAGGAGCAGCGGAAATCAAATTTGAGTGTAATTTCAATTAGAACGGAGGGAGACATTGGATCAGACAGCCATGCCCACGAAGGAGAATGATCAGACCGTAAGATACCACTGATGCCCATTGATTAGACTGAAGGAAACGGAGGGAAACTATCCCTCACTACCTAACACAATCATTATGCTGATTTGACCTTTGATCAAACGGAAACACTGAGTACGTTTAAATGCACAACAGGTTGAGAGCTTCAAGTTCCTTGGTGTCCACATCACCAGCGAACTATCATGGTCCAAACACACTAAGACAGTCGTGAAGAGGGCACGACAAAGCCTATTCCCCCTCAGGAGACTGAAAAGATTTGGAATGGGTCCTCAGATCCTCAAAAAGTTATATAGCTGCACCATCGAGAGCATCCTGACTGGTTGCATCACCGCCTGGTATGGCAACTGCTCAGCCTCCGACCGCAAGGCACTACAGAGGGTAGTACGTACGGCCCAGTACATCACTGGGGCCAAGCTTCCTGCCATCCAGGACCTCTATACCAGGCGGTGTCTGAGGAAGGCCCTCAAAATTGTCAAAGACTCCAGCCACCCTAGTCATAGACTGTTCTCTCTGCTACCGCACGGCAAGCGGTACCGGAGCGCCAAGTCTAGGTCCAAAAGGCTTCTCAACAGCTTCTACCCCCAAGCCATAAGACTCCTGAACAGCTAATTATGGCTACCCGGACTATTTGCACTGCCCCCCCCCCCCCCCCCCCCCCCTATTTTTACCCTGCTGCTACTCTGTAAATGTTTTATGCATAGTCACTTTAACTTTACCCACATGTACATATTACCTCAACTAGCCAGTGCCCCCTGCACATTGACTCTGCACTGGTACCCCCCTGTATATATAGCCTCCATACTGTTATTTTATTTGACTTCTGCTCTTTTTTTCTCAACACTTTTGTTGTTTTATTTTACTTTTTTATAAAAAAAAAAAAGCATTGTTGGTTAAGGGCTGTAAGTAAGCATTTCACGGTAATGTCTACATCTGTTGTATTCGGCGCATGTGGCAAATAAAATGTGATTTGATTTAATAATTCGATATTATACCGATTTATGACACTAGGCATATTATGCAATAGTCATGTAAACATTTTACTCTGCTTATCTTAATCGGCGTAATGTCAAAATCGAAGTAAGCATACGCCGATTAAAACACCCGTTTTTCTGAGCAAGCTTTCTAATTATTAGGACATGTAAACACCTTAATCTGCGTCCCATGACGTATTTGATCTGCGCATGTGCTAGCACCAGCGACGTATTTGATCTGCGCATGTGCTAGCACCAGCCGAACGAGCCTCCCTCCTTTAGCACGAGTGAAGTGAGTTTGGAACAACTGAATGTATGCGTCTGAGAAGTAGTTTTCACATACAAACGTTATATGTCCGAGCTCAAAATCAAATATGCTTCCCAGAAATAACGTGGTTGCTGTGGTAGAACGTTTATTTTGATTGGCGATTTTCTGCATGTATCAGAGTGCCATCAGGTAGCCTGATTTCAGATGTGTGCATGTAAACAGGATTATTAAGGAAATTGTTCTTCTTGCAAAGCATATAAATGTTTTATTCAAACTATTGTATTAATCTGACTATCCACAATAATCACATTATTGTGTGCATGTAACCGTACTTAATGACGCTGAGGCCATGACTTTGATTGTAGTCCTAGTTGTTGTGCTACACCAAAAAGAGCAGGGTTTCCCAAACTCTGTCCTGGACCCCCCCGGCACTACACAGCTGATTCAAATAATCAAAGCTTGATGATTTACATTTACGTCATTTAGCAGACTCTCTTATCCAGAGCGACTTACAGTTAGTGAATGCATACATTATATATTTTTTCCTACCCCCTGTGGGAATCGAACCCACAACCCTGGTGTTGCAAACGCCATGCTCTATCAACTGAGCTACACCCCTGCCGGCCATTCCCTCCCTTACCCTGGACGACGCTGGGCCAATTGCGCGCCGCCCCATGGGTCTCCCGGTCGCGGCCGGCTACGACAGAGCCTGGATACGAACCAGGATCTCTAGTGGCACAGCTAGCACTGCGATGCAGTGCCTTAGACCACTGCGCCACTCGGGAGACGCAGTGGTCTAATGAGATGAGTTGGTTATTTGAACAGCTGTGTAGCGTTAAGGGTATGGGAGTTTGTTGTTTGTTTGTTTTGGTTTTCTAGTAGTGTTCCAATATAACACATGGCTATACAGCAACACCCTTCTCAGTTTAGTAGTTTAACCTGTTTATCTTTTAATGTACTTAATAGTGTATTCAAGTAGTCTGCGCAGGACTGATTTCTTCATCCTGCACCTGCAGCTTTTCATACTGCACCTTGCCTGCACTTTCTGTCCGATTCCCACCTGTTCTACCGCAGTCCTGCATTGTTTATTTTAGGCGTATGTGACCCAGCCATGCTCCCAGCAATTTTGTGCCCTATAGGCAATATGAAATGCGCAAATATAACTTAAGAAATAGGTTAAATTACCAGAGATTCTCACGTGGCCCATTTTATATTAGGCTATATGTGTTACTGGCTATATCAGCCAATATGCTAGATGTAGTTTGAGGAGAGCAGAGTTGGAGAAACTTTCCCTTTCTCTTGAGCTATTTTTATAGCCTACCTTTTTAGTAGTGGGAAGATTTTCAGACTGAGAAATATGGGACAATGTAGTAAACTATAGCCTAATCATATTTAGGAAGTACATTTCCTTGGAAAGATAACTTCCCCGTGCCTCTCTGCCCATGCATAGGCTATAGCCTACTCTATTTAATTGAGACAACACGCGCACCTGATCTTGGGATGGCTACTGAACTTAAAGCAGCAAGAATGATAACAGTGATACTTGCTGCGTTTTGCATATAGGATATAGCCTGCCTTTTAGGAGGACAATTTGCAGGCAGAGACAAATAAATGGGTAATCAATACTTATTGAAAATGAAAAGGAATAACGCTCGCTCACCATAGTAGCCTAACCTATGCGCGTGTTGAGACGTTTCCTTTTCAATGATAATCATTACATTTTTTGATTGCACCTCGACTGACGTTGGTTGAGCACCCTCCACTTCTTTCCATTATCAATATGTATTTGCAGACACTAGTAAACTACAGTCTAATCATATTCAAGTTAATTTAATGTTAAAGTTTACCGCCACGTGATTCTCTGCCCATGTAGGCAGCCTACTCTATTTCAAAGAGACGACACATAGGCACGCTTGAACTCGCACGCCCAACTAGGAGAGGAGAGGTAGGCTACTGAAGTTGAAGCAACGAATTCTGAGTGTGAATAATGTGAAAAATGTGCTTTTAATACAATATGTAGGCTAACGCATACAGAGCAGGAAGTCTGCAGGACAACAAAAATATTTTCAAACCAAAGTCGTCTGTCTGACCTCCCGCCCGCAGCATGAAAAATGCTGACTGCGCCGCAATGATCATTGTCGGGACCCGCAGGTCCCGCGGGCCCTCTATATTCAAGCTCCCCTCTATTTAGACGCTAATCAAAAGCATTTAGAAGTTAGGCCAAGTTGCGGTAGGTAATTATATTAACTCAATTTTGGAGACAAATTGGAATTCGGTGTGAATTGGGAAAAATCTTCATTGGATGTTTAGGCCTAATTCAGTTATGCAATTCAGCTCATAGAGTAGTCATTGACTTAATTGAAATGGAATTGAGCTCTAAAATCTACCGCCCATTTCTCATTGTATCCACCCCACTCTCTCTCTCCAGATGAGGCGACCCGCTCTCTGAGTGGTCTGATCCTAAAGAACAATGTGAAGGCCCACTACCAGAACTTCCCCAATGGAGTGTCTGATTTCATTAAGAGCGAGTGTCTGCAGAACATCGGAGACTCCTCGCCTCTCATCCGGGCCACCGCGGGTAAGTGAAATATCCTGCATTTGTGACAGAGTATGTTGTCTTCATTGAATTACAGTGCACTCCTCTAGTAGTGATCACATCCGCGCTGGATAATTTGATCCCTATAACCACATTCACTGTAAGCCGAGTGCACTGTATATCTGGTTAAATAAAGGTTGAATAAGCCATACAGGGTCAGGTGTAGCCTGGTTCCAGATCTGTTTGTGCTGTATCCTACTTGTATATGTTTGGCATGACAATAGGAGTGTGCAACACAGCACAAACAGATCTGGGACCAGGCTAGGTCAAGAGGCAGACCAGACTAGATCAGACCAGATCAAGACAGTCTTGGTTGTTTAAATTCTACACTGTTTGCTCCTTCAATGATGCATAAGCAAATCCCTTTTTCACAAGCACTTAATAATATGAAGATATCATGTTTGTATGGCTTGCCCACCTGTTGATCAGGTTAGTTTAACAGGAAATTAATTGCATTGCGTTTTAATTGCATTTTATTGCGTGTCAGTCATCTTGTACCAAAAGGCAAGCTGCTACAGTGGACTAGTTTTATGGCTGTCCATCAGGCTTTAGCGTGGGGTTCATTTTAAACTGTACCCTAGCATGACATATTCAGGTTATTCTTCTCCACCTGTGTAATTGACCTGAAACCTTGTTAGTAATTCTCGCTGGTGTCTGGCTGCATTTTTTTTTCTGAAGCTTTTGATTGGCCAGCTGGCCTGTTGAAATAGCCAATGGGGTTTGCATGGTGTCCTCCTTATCAGAGCCAGCAGGCAGCAGACGGTGCCAGGGCTCTGTTGCCACAGTTACCAAACATCTGACAGAAACGTACAAACAGGAGTGTGTGTGAATCACCTTTTATAAACTGACTCAGTGCAGGATATTGGCTCTGCCAATCCTGATGACGATGAAGCAATGGGGTTAATTGGAAAGCCTCAGAGTCATGGCTTCCAAGCCAAGCATGGAGATTGTTATAAGGAAGATTTGATTGCTTGTAGAATTGCTTCCAGGAGACCTGTCTCATCTCTCGCTCTCCTGTGCTAGGTATCCTCATCACCACCATCGCCTCCAAAGGGGAGCTGCAGAACTGGCCCGAGCTGCTGCCCAAACTCTGCCTTCTGCTGGACTCTGAGGACTACAACACCTGTGAGGTGAGGAATTAGACAAGAATAGGACAGGAGATGCTGCGTCTGAGCTCAGCTATACATCTATACTCTGTACAGCTATACTCTATACCCCTCAAACTCAACTCTGGACCGCGAAGCCAGTTCCACTGCATTTTTTAATTGTTTCCCTCTAATCAGGGACTGATTTAGACATCGGACACCAGGTGTTGAGTACCCCTGCTCTATACAGCTATACTCTATACAGCTATACTCCATACCAGGGTTTCCCAAACTCGGCCCTGCCCCCCCCCCCCCCCCCTCCCCCGCGTGCACGTTTTGGTGTTTGCCCTGGAACTACACAGCTGATACAAATAATCAAAGCTTGATGATGAGTTGGTTATTTGAATCAGCTGTGTAGTACTATGGCAAAAACCAAAATGTGCACACAGGGGAGCCCCAGGACCAAGTTTGGGAAACCCTGCTCTATACAGCTATACATCGATACAGCTATACATCGATACATCTATACTCTATACAGCTATACATCTATTAAGCTACAGTGCATTCGGAAAGTATTCAGACCCCTTGACTTTTTCCACATTTTGTTACGTTACAGCCTTATTCTAAAATGGATTAAATTGTTTTTTTCCTTCTCATCAATCTACACACAATACCCCATAATGACAAAGCAAAAACAGGTTTTTAGAAACGTTTACATAAGTATTCAGACCTTTTACTCAGTACTTAGTTGAAGCACCGTTGGCAGCGATTACAGCCTCGACTCTTCTTGGTTATGACGCTACAAGCTTAGCACCTGTATTTGGGGAGTTTCTCCCATTCTTCTCTGAAGATCCTCTCAAGCTCTGTCAGGTTGCATGGGGAGCGTCGCTGCACAGCTATTTTCAGGTCTTTCCAGAGATGTTAGATTGGGTTCAAGTCTGGGCTCTGGCTGGGCCACTGAAGAACATTCAGAGACTTGTCCCGAAGCCACTCCTGCGTTGTCTTGGCTGTGTGCTTAGGGTCATTGTCATGTTGGAAGGTGAACCTTCGCCCCAGTCTGAGGTCCTGAGCGCTCTCCAATGAAGTTGTAGAAACATGTCAAGGATGATCAAATGAAACAGGATGCACCGGAGTTCAATTTCGAGTCTCATAACAAAGGGTCTGAATACTTATGTAAAAAAGGTATTTCTGTTTTTGCTTTGTCATTATGGGGTATTGTTTAGATTGCTGAGGATTATTATTTTTTAAATCTATTTTAGAATAAGGCTGTACCGTAACCCAATATGGAAAAAGTCAAGGGGTCTGAATACTTTTCCGAATGCACTGTATAGTCTATACAACTGTACATCTATACCGTATACAGCTATACATCTATACCAGGGTCTCCGTTAGCCGGTAAATGCCGGCTTTTGGCCCCAAAAAATAAATGAAAAGCCGATTTTAAATAAAATTGTTGTCGGGCAAATTGTCTGGGAGAAAGAAAAAATCCATAGCAAAATAATGCTTTTTATTCATTGATGGAAATACCAGTCGATGTGCTCCAACTTCAAAGGCAAATATAGGCTACTTCATAGGCTAATAAATCCTCAAGCTTGCTTGGAAATTAGTGTTGGGTGTGTGTTTCTATTTTTACTAATGCAAAAGACACGAGGTCTTCATTAGTGTATCCTGACTGGGCAAAATTGGCGAAGATTGTGTTTATTATTCCATTTTCCAGTGTACCTGCCGAGAGGGGATTCTTTCTCCAAGTAAAGACGGCCTCAAGATCGCGCCTTCTTCAGGACAAAGTAATGAGGCTGAAGCGCATCGTAAGCTGCTCCAAGGCTTTGAGCAGGCCAAGGTCCAAGTAAATTATTGTTCGTCAGTCCCGGTCCTAGCAGTTCTGCTGCCGCCCAAGGCAAGATCAACATACACTATATATACATAAGTATGTGGACACCCTTTCAAACGACTGGATACGGTAAAAAATAAAAAAAATAAATTGCGACCTGGCCAAGATAAAGCAAAGCAGTGCGATTTAAAAACAACAACACAGAGTTACACATGGGATAGCACACTACAGAATACACGACCGCACTGCTACGCCATTTTGGATCAAGCCACACCCGCGGCTGACAGGTGTATAAAATCGAGTACACAGCCATGCAATCTCCATTGACAAACATTGGCAGTAGAATGGCCTTACTGAAGAGCTCAGTGACTTTCAACGTGGCACCGTCATAGGATGCCACCTTTCCAACAAGTCAGTTTGTCAAATTTCTGTGCTGCTATAGCTGCCCGGTCAACTGTAAGGGCTGTTATTGTGAAGTGGAAACGTCTAGGAGCAAAAACATCTCAGCCACAGTGGTAGGCCACACAAGCTCACAGAACGGGGCCACCGAGTGCTGAAGCGCATAGCGCGTCAAATTCGTCTGTCCTCGGTTTCAACACTCACAACCGAGGACCAAACTGCCTCTGGACGCAACGTCAGCACAAGAACTGTTCGTCGGGAGCTTCATGAAATGGGTTTCCATGGCCGAGCAGCCGCACACAAGCCTAAGATCACCATGTGCAATGCCAAGCGTTTGCTGGAGTGGTGTAAACCTCGCCGCCATTGGACTCTGGAGCAGTGGAAACGCCTTCTCTGGAGTGATGAATCACGCTTAACCATCTGGCAGTCCGACGGACTAATCTGTGTTTGGCTGATGCCAGGAGAACGCTACCTGCCCCAATGCATAGTGCCAACTGTAAAGTTTGGTGGAGGAGGAATAAGGGTCTGGGGCTGTTTTTCATGGTTCGGGCTAGGCCCCTTAGTTCCAGTGAAGGGAAATCTTGACGCTATAGCATACAATGACATTCTAGATGATTCTGTGCTACCAACTTTGTGGCAACAGTTTGGGTAAGGCCCTTTCCTGTTTCAGCATGACAATGCCCCGTGCAAAGCAAGGTCCGTACAGAAATGGTTTGTCGAGATCGGTATGGAAGAACTTGACTGGCCTGCACCGAGACCTGACCTCAACCCCATCGAACACCTTTGGGATGAATTGGAATGCCGACTGCGTGCCAGGCCTAATAGCTCAACATCAGTGCCCGACCTCACTAATGCTCTTGTGGCTGAATGGAAGCAAGTCCCCGCAGCAATGTTCCAACATCTAATGGAAAGCCTTCCCAGAAGAGTGGAGGCTGTTATAGCAGCAAAAGAGGGACCAACTTCATATTAATGCCCATAATTTTGGAATGAGATGTTCGACGAGCAGGTGTCAAATATACTTTTGGTCATGTAGTGTATGCCTTCGCCTGTGTCGTGTATAAAGATTTGGAATGGATTGGTACAGTTATGATGTGTATCATGTGCAATTGGTGCATTTCAGTTGCGATTATTCAGTAGCACTTGGAAACTGAACATCGTTGCCAACTATTCACATTGGAGCGTTACAATGTTGCCATCACTACGCAGCCAACTGCCTATAGTAGGAAACAGAGTTATCAAAAAGACAAGGTATATGACACGAGTCACAACCTCATGATAGTTCAAATTACAATAAACACAACATTTATTAACGCCATCCAGTAGTACTGTAAAAAGAGTGAGATAATTTGAGCTTCATAAATGCATGGCGCGGGCCTCGTTTAAAATAAGCTTTTTAGCAAGGAACCAGCCTTAACTAATTTATTTTATTTACATATCGAATTTGATTGTCCAACATCAGGTTTATAATTTCTTCTTTTTGTGGCCACCTAGAGTGTCCTCTTTCCACTGCTGTGGTGCTGAATCGCAGCGGGAATGTGGAGTGGGGCGGGCCGGCCCGGTCCGGTCATGGCTAGAAGAGATCCAGTTTTTGTTAAATTAACGTCAATAGTTGCATTTTGGGGAATTTGAGCTAACCCTTTTCCTAACAACTTAATTATCCTAACCTGCTGCGTAAGTTCAGATTTGTCAGTCAAATTTTCATTAATTTGAAAAAAGCTGTATCCCTTCCAGTGCCTAAAATGTACTTTTTGGTCCACCAGCCACTGTGGCAGGTATATTTAAAAATCTACCAGCCACTGATTTTTTTTTGTTTGTTAACCAACCAAAATAATAAAAAATAAAAACATTACTCGTAAGAAGTCATGTGGTATATTGTTTTAATTTCATTTCATTTTTTGTGACCTGAGTCTTTTAACCAAAATATCACAGATGAGACAAATGTTCACCTACCCCTTTAAGGGTGGGAGGTTACTGTGGTAACGCGACTGGAGTCATGTTTGTGCCTGTGAGATTGAGTCTAACTAGTAGCAGCGTTGTCTTCTCTTCTCCAGCAGTTGAAACTCAAACATTGTTCACAAGCTAGGTTGTTTTTCCAATCTAAATAGCCAAGAAACACAAGGACAAAGTCTCACTTCAGTAGACTTTTGTTTCAAGTAAATTAGACCGTCTTTTATGCCTGTGTGCAGCGCTTCTAAAAATGAGTCTTTCACTCCGCTCTTCACGTGCTCTGCGCACATCCCCTGGCCAGGAAGTATTGCAGCTCGAGGTGTGGTAGGCAATAGGATTCATAGTGCTTTGACTTTTTGCGATTTTAATTTACCAGCTATGAAACAAAACGGCAGAAATACTTTGAAAACATCTACTGCAGCATTTATTTTACTATAAATGTGATCATAATTGTGAGTGAAATGCTCACACTGTGGAGACTTGACCACCTGCCAACGTGGCTGGTGAAAAATACATTTTACCTGCCAATCTACATGTATTTGACAGGTTGTGGGTGTTCATTTTAGGCCCTGAACCCGTTTAGCCATGACAGGCCGACCCTGGTGTTACATTTTACATTTTTGTCACTTATCCAGAGCGACTTACAGTTAGTGAGTGCATACATTTTCATACTGGCCCCCCGTGGGAATCGAACCCACAACCCTGGCGTTGCAAGCGCCATGCTCTACAAACTGAGCTAGACATCCATGTTTTGTTATTTATTAGGCCTAATTAAAATGTTAATGCCTAGGCTAAGTTAAATTAGAGAGGTCTAGATTGTATTTGAAAACAGCTGTTTAGTTATTTTATTATACTGAACAAAAATATAAATGCAACATGTAAAATGTTGGTCCCATGTTTCATGAGCTGAAATAAAAGATCCCAGAAATTTTCCATACACACAAAAAGCTTATTTCGCTCAAATTTGGTGCGCAAATTTGTTAGTGAGCATTTCTCCTTTGCCAAGATAATCCATCAACCTGACAGGTGTGGTATATCAAGAAGCTGATTAAACAGCATGATAATTACACACGTGCACCTTGTGCTGCGGACAATAAAAGGCTACTCTAAAATGTGCAGTTTTCACACAACACAATGCCACAGATGTCTCAAGTTTTGAGGGAGTGTGCAATTGGCATGGTGACTGCTGGAATGTCCACCAGAACTGTTGCCAGGGAATTGAATGTTCAATTCTTTACCATAAGCCGCCTCAACATCGTTTTAGAGAATTTGGCAGTACGTCCAACCAGCCTCCCAACCGCAGACCACGTGTAACCACGCCAGCCCAGGACCTCCACATTCGGCTTCTTCACCTGCGGGATAAAGTAATCCTTCTACCCCACCCTTAACCCCCCCCCAAAAAAAAAAAAAAACATATTGTAAAGTGGTTATCCCACTGGCTATAAGGTGAATGCACCAATTTGTAAGTCGCTCTGGATAAGAGCGTCTGCTAAATGATGTAAATGTGGTGAGGTCTAGGTTAACACAGGAATTAGCTGTGCTGCTGGGTCTGGTCTGTCTGTGAAATGTGGTCTACGACAGGACTGGTAGCCAGGTCTGTCAGCACTAGACTAGGACAGGTACTGACTGGACTGCTAGATCTGGGACCTGAGGTTAACAATTATACTAGTGAGGTTGGTTAAGGACAGAGGTTGGTTGGAGAGTCGTGTCGTCGTTGTAGTCTGTGGATTAATCTGAGATGATCTGTGTTTGAATGAGTGATCTGGTTGTCTTGTCCTTTTTCACATTTGATACCAGACATGAGCAATACATATGTACGCCTGTGTGTGTGCGGGTGACTGTGTGCACGCTCTTGGGTATGTGTGCGTGCACATGCCTGTGTGTGTGTGTCCGTGCGCGCATGTCTCTGGGGAGGGCGAGGTTGGATAAAGCAGCATTTGCATGGAGTCCGGCTGACCGGATCAGCTGAAGGCAAATACTCACAGCTGGATAGGAACTAACCCAAAACTGCAGCTTATTCAACATGAAGTGACTGGCCTATATTCTCCTCCCTCCACTTTTCTCTTCTCTCTTTTTATATACAGTGCATTCGGAAAGTATTTAGACCCCTTGACTTTTTCCACATTGTGTTACGTTACAGCCTTATTCTAAAATTGATTTAAATGTATATTTTCCCTCATCAATTTATACACAATACCCCATAATGACAAAGCAAATACAGGTTTTTAGAAATGTTAGCAAATTTGATTTAAGACAAAAAAAAACATACCTTATTTACTTAAGTATTCAGACCTTTTGCTATGCGACTAGAAGTTGAGCTCGGGTGCATCCTGTTTCCATTGATCATCCTTGAGATGTTTCTACAACTTGATTGGAGTCCACCTGTGGTAAATTTAATTGATTGGACATGATTTGGAAAGGCACACACCTGTCTATATAAGGTCCCACTGTTGACGGGGCATGTCAGAGCAAAAACCAAGCCATGAGGTCAAAGGAATTGTCCGTAGAGCTCCAAGACAAGATTGTGTCGAGGCACAGATCTGGGGAAGGGTACCAAAACATGTCTGCAGCATTGAAGGTCCCCAAGAACACAGTGGCCTCCATCATTCTTAAATGGAAGAAGTTTGGAACCACCAAGACACTTCCTAGAGCTGGTCGCCCGGCCAAAC